AGATGCTTCAGGGTTGGCCAAACTTTTGGAACTGACACTTTTATCGGACTCGTGGCCAAAATGCAGGCAAAAGCATTTCAATTTTTTTTGTGTGCTTTGTCAAAAAAGTTTTTTGTTTGGAAGCGGATGCGTCAGTTTTAATGAATAACGAACGGAGAAGGTGCAGAGAAAAAAAATCTATAGACATGGGTAATTGATTTTCAGTTTTCTTAAAGAATTTTTAAATTATTTTCCTTCCTTCTATATGGTCTATAAATTCTCTATAAAAATATATAGAAGCAAAACCTAGTTTAAATATTTTTCAAAAGCAACAACCAGTTTTAAAATGTTATAAATTCCTCCTTTGAATTATTTATAATACATTTCGCTATAATTTCCCTCTGTGTAAAGACTGAAGTGGGCTAAACTGAGTGACTGGCTGACGAGAATCCCGAGATCGAGCCACATTGGATCCCCCTGGTTTGTGGGTTTGATGCGGAACTGTCCGCAGCACACCTTTACGCACGTCTTTCCAACTAATTTCTGTGCGCTTCTCAACTTTCTCGCCTCGCTTTTAGACCAAGTTTGTGGGCCCTGGCCCTGCCAGAAGTTTATTAACTGTCCCTCGACAGCCACTCCTCCCAGTTGGCTTTCGATTCTCCCCAGCAACCGCGATTCTAAACGGCTCTCATACACATTTCGGTACGGTTTGGGTTTCGGATAGAAGAGGGGTCAGTGTGTGTGGGGAGGATGTGGCCAAAACTGATGGGAAACAGCGGCATGGGAGCACTTTGAAAAGCGTGGCATTGTGGCAGCGGTCTCTCGTGTTGCTGCTGTTTGTGCTTGTTGCCGCAGCTTCTTTTGTTGCCACCTGGTTTGAATGGCTGTGATTTGGGATCTTGTTAACAAAAAACTTAACTGAATTTTTAATTGTTTTATTTATAATTTAAGAAAGTATATATTTATATCATTATTTTTATAGAGTCAAGTTCTGAATGCTTAAGTTTTATTGCTTTAGTTTTCATTGATGTTCTTGCTCTTCGTTGCTTCTGTTCCAGGTGCTCTTAATTCATTTTCCACTGTTCGTGTTGCTTGCATCTTGGCTCCAAAAAGTTTGGTGTTCTCCCCCCTGAATTTTTCACATTTTTCCCATCTTCATCTCTGTCTTTCTTCTCTTTCGAGCGTTAATTCATCATTCGCCTTAATGGGTGTTACCTGTTAAGTGCGTTTATCACGTGCTGCGTTTGGCGGTCTTGTGAGGTTTTTTCTGCCCCTTCTGGTTGGAACTGGTCTTTAAACGGGGCCATAAGCTCATTCTCATTTAAAAAGTCAATATATTTTGATTATTTCAATAAAAAACGTGCAGCGTTTAAAAAATTAATTACATTCCACTGGGTTAACACAAAAATTGAAGCCAAGTAAGGAGAAGAATTTAAGGACAGATTAAAGTTTCACCAAGCTAAAATGCTTCTGAATTTAGGAGAATTTTTATATATAATATAAGTACTTTTCACTTATACATGTTAATTTCCATACAAATCTCAATTTTAAAGCTCATAATAAGCAAATCCCACAATGATTAATGGATTTGTACTGAGCCTAATATTTTTAGCTGACCATTTCTCACAGCCAAATTCCGCTTAAAATGCTCAAAGTAATTTAATACCTTTTCGCTGCCTTTTTGAGACTTTGGCAAACATTTACACATAATCCGTCATAAAGTGGAAAATCAAGTAACCAAGTGATTAAGCCATGAATGGAAGTGGAAGCCAGGAGGCAGGGTAGGGCGGCTGAGGATAGAGTGTATTCAAATAGTATTTGTAACGAAAATCGAAAATTATTCAATAGGCTTCGCCTTTAGCGTCTCGAGTGGCCATCGGAATCGGAATCGGATTGGACTGAATTGGCTTGGCTGGGATCCGAATTGGATTGGCTTCGAATGGTTTTATTTTATATTTTTTTCTTTTTGGGCGGACTACGATTCCACAAATGCATTTTAGTTGTTTGCTCACTGGGACGACGATTTTTCGATGATGACGACGACGACGACAAGATTTACATAAATAAGTGCGCCCCGAAAGCGGGATAAGAAATCGTTGATTTTTCCCTATCCACCACACCACATACATAGTTAATCTGAATCCGAATCGAAGTTTCTTTCTTTGGACTTTTGATTGCCTTTATTTTTTCGTTGGGTGCCGGTGGTGCCCATTTAGACAAACCGCAACGAATTTTCTCACTTTTATCGCATTTTAATTAAAAGCTGCCGAAGGCCCTGATTTCGACCAAAGGCAAAACTGGATTGAACGAATTCCATTTGTATATACTGGAACGGAGCTATAGAATTTGAGAAAATGGGAATCATATCTGAGATATTTATGAACACATAAATATGTCTAATTATTAGGATGGTGGCGCGGATTTCGTATATGTTTAATATTAATAGAAAATTAGTAGAAATGATAAACTAAGCCAGAACGGGACTTTGGTATACGAACTTTTAAAACATTGATTAAACACACCTAAAATAATAAATAACAGCAGCCTAGTTATTTATTATTTTAGGTGTGTTTATATCACAACCCATGATAAAATATTTAAATTATATTCCGGAGAATTTTAATTTTGATAACAAAAATTCAGCAACTTTAACTTGATTTTATGGTGGCAACTCTCAACTTGTAATACAATACAAAGGCGGAAATTTAATGACTTATCCTTAAATATTATATTTAAACTAATCTTTTCCCCACAAGTCTGGCTTTCATAAGTTCATTTTTATTTGAAAGCCTCTACAAAATAATTTATTTAAAGCGATAAACTTACCAACCTCTCATCAGGTTAATAAAATCTTAAAACTTCCGAAAAGCGACATGAAATACCTCCAAAAATAGACATTGAACCCATTGGGGTCTTTGTAGAAAATCCCATATTATGTTTAGATGGAAGTGCTTCCCGAATTTCAGTTATAAGCCTCACCATTTAGCCGACTTAAGCATCCGGTGGCAGCTTGTTAGTCCGTTCTTAATCATTGCTCACTGGCCCGCTGACCATTTAGCTCTCAACGACTTCCGTTACGCTTGAAAAGAATTCTTATTTATTTGTTTTCATTTCCCTCCCCTGAGCGGCTTTTTATTTTTTACCATTTTTACCATTTTTGCGCTTGTTTTGTCAGCGCTTTCAAAGAGATGATTATCTAAGAGCTTTCTGTCTGTGTCTGTCGGTGGCTTTGTCTCGTCGCCTCTCTATATATATGGCTATATATCCCGCTTTTGTTATGCCCCGCCATCATCAATATCTCGCCGTCGATCGCCTTTCATAATTGTCACACATTTTCAGCTCGGGAACTGGTTCCTCGATCCGTGACATTCGTTGTCTGTGGGTCACTTTTTTCCACTTCTTTCATTTTTCCCCCATTAGCGCATTTTAGTGCACTTGCCGATCTGGTGTCTCCTGTTTCCACACATTATCTCTCTCTCTCTCGTTCTGTCATCGTCACTTGCACATTTCGGTGGGTTGACTTTTTACCCAAGCGTTTTTTAATGACGCCATTTTCGCCTCATCATGGGGCTAATGACAAACAGCTGACCGCATATTCCCGCAAATGTTTCAAGGTTGCTTACGATAAGAATAACGGTGTCGAGTCCGGCCTGAGTTCAGCGTGAGAACAAACATATGGGCAAATATCAGTTTGATTTGTGGGATCATAACGGTGCAGACAGGTTATCAATATTTCGAAAATAAATATTTAATCATATAATATAAAAAAACAAAGTTAATTTTTATTAAAAACATGTAGCTTACAATCGAACGGTAAGTTTCATAATTTAATTATAATTTTGTTATTGTAATTATTATTAATATTTATTTTAATAAGCAATCAATTTCATTATCCTGTAAGGTATAAATATCTTATCAGTTTTAACTTATCACTTTTTCATTGTTTACAAATCCGTCCTAAAAGCCGGTTGTTCATTCAAAACATAAACAAAACTGGTCAAATGTTCATTTGCCGGCTTTTTTCATTCACTGAAAATGAACACCTCTCTCTCACCCTCTCTCTGTAGTTTTGGCTCTCAATCTTGTTACACTCTCTTCATTTTGTAGCACGTGTATCTGAAAACAAGAATAACTAAAAAAATTCACTCGCTCTCCCCCTCTATCTTTCGGTATCTTCAATACACAATTACAGCCCTAAGCAAATTATTAGCATACAACTTAATTAAAAATTAAAAATCCTTAAAAAATAATTAAATAATAAATCTGTCATCGTGGTTATTATACATCATGAAATTATTATAAATCATGAAATTAATTATTAATTCATTAATTTAGAAAATGCATAAAAAACTTGCATTCTAATTATATAATTCATGTACATAAGTAAAATGTTAATTTTTAAATCACTTACAAATTTACGAAAATAAAAATAAAAAAATGCGATTTTTACATTCTGTAAAATTGTTAATTATTTGTCTTAATAAGCTTTTTTACTTAGTAGACTAATCATATTCGTACCCATATTCATTTATCTTTAACCACTATATATTGAATACATATGTACGTAATTTTTTACTTGTACTAATTATTTGTCCATGACTGTGCAACTGAGGATCAGCATCGCAGCGCCGATGATCGCCGGTTTGTTTTCGACGTTCATTCAGTTGGACTTAAGCATGCGAACGTGCAACTTCGAAACGGGAAACGCGGAAGAAAAGCTATTTTTATTTTGGCGAAGGAGTGCGGGAAAAGTGCATGCCGTATAAATAAAAATAAAAGTGCGTTCACAGAGGTGAAAAACGAAAAAAAGTACCGAAAAATTTAAGGATTGAAAAGTAAACATAAGCAAATAAGCACATTAATTAAATTACGCTACACAGGGAAAAACAAATAAAATGTTGGCTTAAATGATATATGCTACAATTTGTTCAAAATTCAGAAATCACGAAAAAAAATTTATGAAATCTTAAAGAAAAATAAAGTAAATTTATATATATAGATTTTAATCGATTGTTTTTTTAAGCTTTTTGCTTATTATTTAATTAAATAATAATTTTTTTCGGTGTGCTACATATTTTGCTTACATTAAACTTCCCCCGATTTGGCTCCCTTTAAAGTTATTTTTGGAGCTCTGTGCGCTTTTCTTTCCATTTCGGAATCCCCTTCCTTGAGTTTTCCCCCCAGCCAGCTGTAACGGTACATTTGCATCTCTTCTATAGCATTTCCGTTGCGTGTGCAAAAATCGAAATAAAGGAAAACAACAGCAAAATGCTAAAGTGCAGTGATGTGAAAAAATAGAGAAGGAAAAATATTGTATATTTTAAAAATAATCGCCCTCAAGGCGGGGCCAACAGGAGCAGCAGCACCATCATCAGGAATAACAACAAAAAATCAACCGAAATAATAACAACAAAAACAACAACAACAACCCTTTGGTGTTTTTTTGCCCCCTGCTAAAAATGCGTTGCATGTGTTTCTAATAATGAAGTGTTTATTTTGAGCGCCCGCAAGTGAAATGCATTTGAATAGCTCAAAAAGCCACAGGCCGAAGTCAAGAGATAAATAAAAATTGGAAAGTGTTTCTATTTTTTACCCATCCGCGTGCTCATCCTCTCGATTCCCTGGAGAGCCCGCAATTTCGATTGGATTATTTCCCCCGGCGGGTAAGTGCATCTTATCTGATATCTGCAATATAGCCAGCGAACAAATTGTGATTTATGCACTTATTGTGAAATATTTTCGACGCTTTTGCCATCATCTCATTCTTTGCGGCGTCGGCGCGAAATATCTTCCATTTAATGGCTTCCATCTCCATGTTTTTCACTCGCTCTTTGGGTCTCACTATAATTTGAAAGATTTTCATCCGATAGGCTCTTCTTTGATGTAATTTCAGTAATTTTATTTAATGTTTTAACAAATCGTTTGAGGTTAAATGACTGCAGGTTACTCTTTGAGATACTTTTGGTTTTGTGTTGTGAAAACTGACGATTTACAGATGGAAGCATGGGGTATATGTACCTGAAAGTTATTATTGCACTATTTGCATTTATTCTATATTTAAAAGCACATTTTGAAATACTTTTCAAGCTCATATCTCTGTTAAGATCACCTACCCATCACATTCCTATATTTTTCAAACCGCAAATGCCGTTCCCGAATAATATTTCACACACATCTACTTTTTCACTCAAAAAGACAGCTTTATCTGTGAAATCAAATCTGACTTCAGCCCACACTCCTGTTAAATACAAAGTACTTGACGCATTCTTTAAGCTTAGTTAGCCATTTTTCTTTTGTCATACGAGAGAATGTCAACCTCTGGCCAACAATAACAAACAGCGCCTTGGAGTAAAACTTTTAAACAAAGCCCACAAATCATATTACACATCAGCAGCAGCAGCATCAGCGGTGGCGGCACACAAGTATAACTAGGCTCTGGCACGCCCCGAACGCCCAGCCCCTTGGAGAAGGGTAAAGTGCATGGAGACAAACCGAAAGCGAAACATCCAAGCAACTATTTTGCACACATAAATCTGACTTATGGCACCCACTCACCCACACACAATGGGGGAGGTGACTCTGGGGGCGTGGCTGGGCCTTAAAATACACAGATAAAAGTTGAGCATCATTGGGGAAAAAACAATAGTTACCAATGGTGTAACAAGTTTTTATAATTATTTGGCCATCTCCTTCATCCCTTAATAAGAGAAAAACTTTCAAGTCAAAAATAAAAACATTTATTCCAATATTTTTCAGTTTATAGACCAGATCAAGATTAAATACTTCAAAAAATACAACTATTTTCATATTTTGTAATTTTATTTTGAACAATAATTTTTCAAGTAAATATCTTTAAAATGTTTCTTTCTTTTTTTAAATTAATAATCCTTAAATGGTTAAAAAAGATAATTTTCTTATAAACAATACCCATTTTGGTGCAGTGTAGTTACCATTCCGTTGAGAATGCTTCCTTGTTGATGATGTGTCTCTGTTAACAGACCGCGAGGGCTTTTCTCGAAATGAAAAATGCTGATAACTGCAACAAATCACCGACTCGACTCCTCGACACCGAATCTCTCGGCGTAAATTGCAAGAATGTGAGCTCGTCCATAAAAACATCATTTATGGCGGGGGAGCGTTTTTTGGGTTAACACCACCCAAAACCTTTTGTCTATGCCATGTGCACCCACGCCCACCCAAAAAGTGGCGCCTAATGATGAATGCAATTGCCGCAATTTGCTTTTACTATTATGACCGGGCAAAAACAGGAAAAGGCTTCCCAGTGGAAAACCAACGAGATAGGAGTTGGTGGGGTACAGCCTGTGGAGCTCTAGGAAGCTGGTAGACTCGTAAAATGAAAAGCGTTTTTTGGTGTTTGCATTTGCCAGTTTAATGCTTCACAAGGTAATCGGGGGGGATTGTAACCTTTTGGCAAGGCGGAAAATCGTGTTTGTTGTTTTACATTTGGCTTGAATTGGTTATTCTGTGGCTTGATCTGGTCTATTAGTCCTAGAGAGTCTCAGGTTTTCATAGGTGAGGTCAGTGAAATGTGTTCGAAAGTGGTAAGAATATGGCATAAAGATCATAAGCAAGGTGGTCTTTAAAACATTTGAAATAAGTAAATTTAAGTGAATTTGTGATTATATGAATAAGGTTTAATTCATTAAATTTTGTAAGTATACATAGATATTTTCTAAAATTTAAGATAACTGCGAAATGTATGAGAATTTGTTGCATTTCTTTACAAAACTTAGATCGAGTTATCGCTCTTTTATTTACTTAATTACTTAATAAATTACCAAATATTTTCCCATAAATTAGCAGGTTCTATTACCTTTTGGTTTGAACTGTATATCACCTTTTTTCGAATTTTTGTATGCTCGAATATTTTTATAATAAATCCGTTGGCAAGGGAAGTTCACATTCGAGTACTTTTGTCCTCGTTTTTGGGTTAACTGTCGCTGGAATCGACAGCCAAATAATGCAAGAAAAAAATGTTAACCAAAAGGGAATAAGATACAAAATAAAAGCTGGATTTGAAATGCTGGAGCAACTGGAAAACCTGAGAGAGCGTAAGATGATGATGAAGATGCGCGCGAAAAACGTGACGAGCGATTTGTGCGCTGTATTTTATTTAATTTTTTTTTTCTCCATAGCAAATGGAACCCGAACCAAACAAATGACAGTGAGAAATTTGCGTTCGATAAATGTTTTTCGCTAAGAAGCAGTTGCATTGAAAAGTTTTTGGTCCCAGACAGAATCGAATGCAATCCAAATGTCAAGCAAATAGATATAAAAAATGAAAGAAAACTAGGAAAAATGGGATCTAGAAGGGCCCGACAAGACGACTTAAAATTTTGTATTATCGATAGTTTTACAATATTGTCAGTTTGATATTTTTGACATTAATGACAGCACAAAATTCTTTTCCAAAGTTGCAGTTCAACTTTACACTTAGAAAAATATTAGGTTAATGATTTAGAACTATTTATATTTTTTAGGAATCTTTAGATATTTTTATCAATTTTAAATTTAGGGGAAAGTTCCTAGCTCACCCACAAATTTGAAGATTGATTTTAAAATTAAGTTAAGACTACAAAAAAATTAAATTAAAAAGAGAAGTACTAACTTTCAAGGAACACTATAGCTTTAGCTTTTCCAAAAATGTATTAAAAGTAATCTAAATATTTTTCAAATAAATTAGATCGGTTTTCTGTGGAGAAGCTCATTGCCTTTGACAGACTTCAAAAGGAGACTTTAATTCCGAGTGTAACGACCCACAATCGGATGGTTCTCTGTGCTCTGCCTTCCCGTTTTTCTCTCACTCTTTCTCCGTGTCTCTGTATCTCTCGGTGTCTGGCATTTTGCTAAATTTTTATTTGTTCCCACAGTTTGTCGCTTGGCATAAATACATCGTTAGCGGCAGTTCCAGCTCTATAGCCTCAGTTCAGCCTCATCTCCAGCTTAGCTCCACCGCGAGATCTCGTGGCAAGAGGGGGGAAAACTTGCAGGAAGCTGCAGACAAAAAAGAGCTGAACTAGACAAAGGCCAAAGCAAAAACCTGAAGCCACTAGTCGCAGTCTTAGACGCTGACTTACTCGTAATAGTAGTTATTGCCTTACATGCACGTTTAATGTTCTTTGGAGGCGGTGCGACAGCTAAACTAAAAAAAAATCAGAGTCTGAGGAAAATGAAAAGCGTCTGGAGAAGTTATGCAAAATGTTTGATACTCTTTTCGTGGAACAGCATACATTAAATGGAAAATGGAACTAGTTATTACAAAATGAGTTGCCCATAAAAATTGCTAAGGAAGATAATACCACTATGACTTTGCTTTCATAAATAAAAGTACTCATAATAATTTTAAAAATTTGTCAAGCAGTGAAAATGCATACAGGGGTTAACTTTATGCTTTGAGTTTATATATTCTGAAATGTCCATTGGGCTGGGCTTATAGGGCAGTATCCCCCATGCAATCCCCTATATAGTATGTCGTGCCACGACGAAACCCGGTGGAATGGCAAGTGAAGTGTCTGTGAAATGGTGCACAAGTGAAAACAACAAATGGGTCGCCTTGTCAGAGAATCTCCAGAGTGGCAGAGTGGCTCCCAACGCGGGCTCACTCACGTTTTTGTTTTTTATTTCGCCGTCGATTAGCTGGCAGTTCATGTCAATGTCTGCCCCACAGTCTTAACCCCCTACAAGGAACATGTGAGGCTTTTTCTGCACAATTGCTCATCACGTTGAGCTCAGAGCTCGGAGCTCGGAGCTCTTGCAGCTCCTCGTAAATGAGAAATTGTCGCCGATTGTCACTTCACTTTGGACCCCTTCTCATTTCCCATTTGCTCTACTTATAAATCAACTGAATCCATAATTTCTGTAGGCATCTCCTGCCGACTTTAATGAAGTTTTGCCAAAGGGGCGACCGCTCCATGCTGGACCCCATTTTAGCTCTCGGCCACTCGAAAGAGGATGTTGCTTTATTTATTTATTCGAAGCAGTTTTTGTTTTTTGCAATGCTGAAATGTGTTTTCGAGTTCATTAAGCGAGTTCTGTCGGCAAAGCCACAAAATGCATTTAAAAATGCGAGCAGCTAAGGGAAGGCAATATATTTAGAGATGAGATGTGACAAGTTGTTATGGAATTTATGGAAGAACTCTCTTATTTTGAGATATAAAATAAAGAAAACCTTAAATAAAAACTGTTTAAAATCAACAACTGAACCCTAGTCCTCAAATATAGCTAATCTTTCTGTAGTATTCGAATTAAAATCTACTAAAACTTAAATAGCAACGATAAGACTTAATTTCCTTACAAGTTTCCATTATCCCTTCATCTTAATCTTTAAATACCTGTACTTGAACTTGTCCAACTCAAATTTCACACATAATTTAGTGCAATGCCAGTTATTAGATGTGAGAGGACCTGATGTGTAAAGCCATGCTTAATTACCTATTGAAAATCACAGCCACACACAAATTCCCCATTCAATTCACTCGATATCCCCATGGGGAGAACCATTTATTCGGAAATCTCGGCCGTAGTATTTCAATAGTCCCACAAGCAACGACTCTATTCATAACCAGCACCTCCTTGGGCATTCTCTCACAATCGGAGATGCCAAAGTCAATGCCAGAGCTAATTCGCCACGACTTATGGCATA